TCTCTCTCTCTCTCTCTCTCTCTCTCTCTCTCTCTCTCTCTCTCTCTCTCTCTCTCTCTCTCTCTCTCCCCCCCCCCCCCCCTCTCTCTCTCTGTGTGTACAGTGCTGTGCTTGAAGGTGTCGAGAGTTCCATTTGCACTTGGCTCAAATTTGAAATAGGCAGGTTCACACGGCGTGGGAAAGTGCATGCTCTCTCTCTCTCTCTCGGTGCAGTGTGGTGAAGTGCACCCTCTCTCTCTCTTTTAGCAGTGTGGTGCATGAAGAGGCGGAGAGTTCGATTCACACTCGGCCCAAAACAAAATGGGGAGGTCGTGATGTGGCGAAGTGCACTCTCTCTCTCTCAAACAGTGGTGTTGTGTGGGAGGAGGTGGACAGCTCCATTCACACTTGGACCAATGGTGTTGTGCGTGAAGAGGTGGAGAGTTCCCCGCACACTTTGCCTAAAAACGAAATAGGTAGGTTGGCGTTGTATGGCGAAGTGCACCCTCTCTCTCTCTCTCTCTCTCTCTCTCTCTCTCTCTCTCTCTCTCTCTCTCTCTCTCTCTGTCTGTCTGTCTGTGTGAGCGGTGCTTTGTTTGAAGAGGTGAAGAGTTACATTCACACTTGGCCCAGTGGTGTCGTGCGTGAAGAATTGGAGAGTTCCGTTCACCGAGCCCAAAAAACGAAATAGGAAGGTTGGTGCGGCTTGGCGAAGTGCACCCTGGGTCTCTCTCTCTCTCACACATACACACACACAACTCCCCCGTCATCGTCTACCCATAGAGAAGGAATAAATACTGAGGAAACCCAAGAAACCTGCTCCATGCCGGTGTGTGATGAACCACCGGAGATTCAGCTAGCATGTGGCTTGCATGCCTTATGCCGTGAGGATTATGAAGGGATAGCCCAGGCGAGCTTTTGTCTTCGTATGTATGATGACAGTCTACACTGCACTCATGTACGCCACCCTGACATGTCATGTCCAATTTGTGGACGGGCTGGAACTGCAATGCCTCTACAATTGCGGTTGATGTGCGTCTTGGTTCCTAGCATGTAGTGTGACATCTGTCTACACCTGGGACAAATGTAATGAAGTGAAAACTTGGTATCCCTATACAACAGCCCTACTGACTACTGCACAGCAGTTCTCCTACCACCTCCTGCCGGACATAATGCATGTGTAGTATTCAAGTTACTGTTTCCCCAATACAACGTTTTTTCTGAGATTTAAACCATTTTTCTGCATCGGAGGGGGCTTGTGAATTGAGGGATGTGTTATGCTCAAATAGAACGTGTGCGCTTTGCATAAGAGTTTATCTCTATATTTCTACCTTGTTAAAGCTAAAGGCGGGGCCACATAAGACCTGCAGAATGCTCGGACAGGGAAGCACCGTGTGCGTGTGCGTGCATGCGTGGAAGGTCATTTGTGCTGTATCTTCCTTCTTGTTTTCTTTGCTCTCTTGGAACGTACAAGCAGCGGCAGCTGCTGATTCTGCTGCTGCTTCTGCTGCCAAAGATGGTGCTGTACCTGCTGATGCACCTGCTGCGGATGGACCTGGAGTTGGGTCATGCATGTCTTGCTGCAGCTGCTTGCTGCATTTTTTTTTTTTTCTTGTGTCCAAATCCCATATCTTTGGCACCGTCCAAATGGTGGGAAACCGGATGTGGGATCCCGGACAACTGGGGTCCCAGACATCCGCCCAAAATGTCCTGGCAAAGTGTCCGGGCATCGGACACTTGGTAATGCAGAAAAAAAAATGAAACGAACAACGTGCAAGCAGTCTATACACAGAATGTGAGATTGCAAGTAGGAAACCTCTAAACGACAGTTCTGAATGCGTGAGGCTTTAAGCCTCAGTAGACCTATTGACCGTGCCCAGAAAAATCAGGCCTGGCCCTAATTGAAGGCTTGCAGCAGAACAACGGTCCACTAGTCCTGAGTGAAGGCTGGCGTGCAGCCTCTCCAACTAAATGGTAGGCCCAGCCTCCAGGTTGGTCGCAGAGGCTGAGGCCCTGGTATTCAGTACGGAAGGTTCTCAATCAGCGAAGAGCCCAGTCCTAGTCCAGGCATCTGCGGCCTTCAGGAAGTAACAAAAGAGAGGAGTCAGCAGCTTTACACACATTTGGAGGCACTGCCTGCCAGTGCTAGCTCTGGGTAGAGCACATTGGAGGCACTGGCTGCCAGTACTAGCTCTGGGTAGAGCACATACAGCTGGTCATCACTCATGGACGAAGAAGAGCAGCAGCCAAGGGTCAGCTGCTCACTCAGCAGCAGTCAGCTTCGCCTAGGTGGAAGAAGGTTGGCACTGGGGCTGGGGTGATCAGGGGTGAAGGACAGTGGTGGGAACAGGCAGACTTACCTAGACGCTCGTGGTGGTCACACTCTGCAGCATCGTTAGGCGAGAGGACAGTGGACAGAGAGAGTAGTGTGAGGGAGAGAAATAGACTGTGTACAGAGAGAGAGAGTAGGAGAGTAATGTAGGCGGTCACATCAAAGTAGAGCTGTTGCATTGTGGTTGTATTGATGAGAGGTGGCAAGAAGTTGGGCTTTCTTTGTCAAGACGCTTCAGTGTCAGTGGGTTCTTATTTGGTGTGCTCTTGGCTTTGTGATTCTGTGCTCTTGGCTTTGTGATTCTGCTTTTGAACTTGCTTATATGTGCTTGTCCTGCTTCGAGGGTTTTGCTGTTTGGAAAAATTTATGTTCGCATCAACTGGTTCCTTGAATGAACCTCGTAAATCAGAAAGCAGGCATAGTCGGTAGGTCTGCAAATTTGCTGATTGTCTGCCGTTTTTGTTGCAATCTCTTATATTGAGCAACACCTCTTTTGCTGTTTCCATGAGGGCGGCCTCTCCTTGTAGAGGAGCTTGACCCTGTAAATATTGAGGATTTTCCTCCCTTCCCTGGTGCTTGTACAAGCTCATTGCTCTGTAAATATCTCACCCTCTTGCTTGAATGCTACATTCAGCATCAACTTTCAGAGGCATGGAAGACCATGTGGTGGTTAATCAATCAGATATGTCGGGAGCTAGAAGGTGAATAGGCATGCACGGCTGCCTGCCGAATGACAGCCAAAAAGAAGTCCTCTCATGCACGGCTTTTCTGCCGAATGACAGCCAAAAGAAGTCCTCTCTTGTAGATGCTTTCCACCTTGACCGGATGCTGTTCCCAGTCTTCTGATCATCTCCTGGTGGTTGGCTGAACTTCAGTGCCACCAAATCCCATGGGACTGTGCCGCAGCTCACTGGTTACGGACGGTGTCTGCTGTACAGGTTCTACATGACTGGTCCACAGGCTCTACATGACCGGTCAGTTGCCTGAATGTGGATGTGAGCACAGTTGTGTTTGAGCTTTTCTGTCTTTTTGTTCCTCCCACTTTTCTTGCCCTCTACGCTCTTGCTGCACTGGTCTTGGAAATGAATTTTGAGTATCATATCCGGAACATTTATTCTTAGGAGTCATTGTCGGTGTCATGAGAAGGATGAGAGTTCCGCATGAGAAGGATGCCATTTTCTGTCCTGTTTTGTCACTTGCCATTTCCAGCAATCCATGTTAGCTGGTTCATCTTCTCAGTGATGCTTGCACTTGTTATAAAATGTTGCAATCATTTGTTCCTTCATGTCACTGTTGCGGTCCCTTCATGCGGTCATGACTGAGCCGTTCCCCTCATTAGTTGATGGTTTCTGTGCTATTGTGTCATGTTTTCAGTGTTCCATTGTATGCTGCCTTTTTGCCTTGGACAACATCATTGGGTGGACCTTAGGCACTCTCTCTTTCTGGTTGGCTTGGCTATGTTTCTAGCCCAGTTAGTCCAAGTGTTGCATGCCTGAGAGAGAGAGAGAGAGAGAGAGAGAGAGAGAGAGAGAGAGAGAGAGAGAGAGAGAGAGAGAGAGAGAGAGAGAGAGAGAGAGAGANAGAGAGAGAGAGAGAGAGAGAGAGAGAGAGAGAGAGAGAGAGAGAGAGAGGCTCCAGGTCTTGGTGTGCCCCAAAGTGGCCACTTCTAGAAGGAACAGGCCAGGAAGGCGGGCCTTAGCAAAGATTCCGGTCCTAATTGATGGCCGAGCGGGGGTAGTATTGGGCCTTAACAGGTGCCTGCTCCTGTAACTAACTGGAAGGCCCAGTCTACAGTGAGTTACAGAGGCTGGAAACCAGACTCGGTTCAGTGGGCAGTAGGCACTGCCTACGGGGACCCAAACCGCGGCCTCCAGAAGAGAGAAAAAGGGCCACGACACAATCCAGAATTGGCAGCAAGTCCTCAGCATGCGGCAGCTGTGGAGTAGAGTTCTGTGGCCAGATAGCCTCTGACAAGAGGAGGCAGCTGCGGTGGCTGCTGTGTTAGCGCCTGCCACAGCTGGGCAGTGCTCAGCAGGTGAGCAGGGTGCCAAAGTATGGAGGTGGTCAGGAAGAGGAGGAAGGCAGTACCTGGTGTTGACAAGGGGCAGCCAGTGTGAGCAGACTCTTCAAGCAGCATCTGGCAAGTGACACATGGACAGCGACAGAGCGGGAGTAGTAGACTACTGTCTGTACGAACAGAGAGTAGTATAAAGCGAGCATGTCACAGCAGGGCTACTACATTGTTGTCGTATTGATTATTGGCGAGAAGTGGGGATTTCTTTGTCAGGAGACTTCAGTGTTCAGTTTGCTCCCATTTGGTGTGCTCTTGGCTTTTGTACTCTGCTTTCAACTCGGCTCAATCGTGCTTGGTCTTTTATGCACTTCCGCATTTCGGAATTTCGTGTTCTCTTTGAATGCTTCCTGTCACTTGGTTGAGGTCCACATATTCCCTGCTTAATAGGCATCTCGCTTTGACACTGATCTCACAAGTTTGTGTCAGAGAATGTTTATGCTGGAATGAGGCAGGCACAAATGAAGGAATGCTGCACTGACAGAAATTTTCCTGCACTGAGTGTTCCTTTTCATGCTGGTTGCAGGAATTGAATTCATTCCTGTTCCATGCATGGACACTAACTGGCAATGTGTTTTAGACATGCACGCATACTGAAAGCATTGGCACGCTTTCCATCCTGTTATGTGATCTTGTCACTGAGTTAAAATTGGATCAATGGTGAACCTTTATGCAACGTATCCTTCATGAGAATCTGTCCACATGTTAACAAGTGTCTAAAGGATGACAATGTGTTTCATTGCCTGGACTTTGTTTTGTCAGTGGCTGCATATGTTCTGCACTTGGAGGAAAATCTCCATGGTTTGGCTGTTGGTAAATGGGAAGAGCTTGGATGGCGGAAGAAATGGCATCAGATGGTGGTGCAAGCTACTAAGGCATTTCATCTGAAGAAACCACTTTTGGAAGTATGTAAACTGGAATCCTTCAAACCATCTCGGAAAGGCGGATGGATGATTGGCCTGTGGTCCAGTGACTTCTGCTGATGAATGGGACTAAAGAATTTGCAATGCTATATGAAGAAGACATTCAGAACGTCAAGGATTACATAAATTACACTCAAGGAAAGATGATAGAACAAGCTAATGAACACCACACACCCTCTACATTCCAAGAAGGGGACTTAATTTGGGTGAGGTCTCTCTTGAAGAGAATGGCTCCCAAAAGTTGTTGGCAGTGTTTTGCGGTCCTTGGGACGTTCTTGAAGTTGTTGCCGATCAGGATTGATCGACCTGTGTGATAGACATTCCCCCACATCTATGAATCTATCCTTTCTTCCGTGCAGATAAACTGCTACCTTTTGTTGGAGGTTCACAATTCCTCCTTTCGGGCTTATGATTCCTCCTCCTATGGAAGGGAACTATCAGATCGATCAAATGTTTCCACATGATTGGTTCAAATGTAAGCCTGGGCCAGGACGAGAGCGAAAGCAGTACAAGGTACGATTACAACTCAAGAATGAATTGCATCAGCGGATCTGGAAACGGGACACTGAGATTGCAAGGAATCTCAAGTCAAATGGTACAACGAACCCAAACTGCAAACAGCCCACAATTGGACTCGCAACTCACTGAAGATTCACACCAAGCATCGAACAAGTAATCTGTACACATGCAGACGAAAGATGCCTCCATTCGCTGTATTATTATACAAAGTTAAGTTCAATTACAGGCTGTTTATGGCCGCTATCGCCAACAGAACCGATCAGGTTCTCTCTCTCTCTCTCTCTCTCTCTCTCTCTCTCTCTCTCTCTCTCTCTCTCTCTCTCTCTCTCTCTCTCTTCTCTCTCGGAGTACTTCAGGCGCTTATCCGCACTTCCCCACTCTCTCACACTCTCTCTCCCTCTCGCTTGAAGTTGGATCACTCACTCTCACTTCCTGAATACACTCATCTACTACTTCGTCTCGCCCAACCTTACAGCTATGGCCGCCTTCTTCTTCCCCGACTACCTTAATCGGGCGCCCGATCTCCCTTCGTCTCCAACTTTCACCTAACTGTGCAACCCCTTGGTCGCACAAGCGCTACAGCAGAGCTTTGGCAGGATGCGAATTGATAAGTGACCCGACAAAGCACTGTAGCGACTGTAAATCGCAGCTGAAATGAGTCGTTGTTGCATCTGGACCGGTACCGGTCGATGTGGCCTGTCGGCTGCAGTTTGCCAGTTCCAGAACTTATTGGATTTTCCCAGGATGCTGCTGCAAAATTGGACTTCGGGACTACAGACTTTTTTGTCAGGTACCGGGCCTACAACTTCTAATGACCCAACTACCAGACCCTACGGACCTACGCTACGCACTCGCAGGACCCTCTAGCTGGGACCTATTACCGGTCGATGTGGCCTGTCGGCTGCAGTTTGCCAGTTCCAGAACTTATTGGATTTTCCCAGGATGCTGCTGCAAAATTGGACTTCGGGACTACAGACTTTTTTGTCAGGTACCGGGCCTACAACTTCTAATGACCCAACTACCAGACCCTACGGACCTACGCTACGCACTCGCAGGACCCTCTAGCTGGGACCTATTGGGACCGGGACTCTTGGACCAGGACTGGGACTGGGACTTGGGACTCTGGGACCGAGACTTGCAACTGAAACACAGTGTGAAATCCTTTCAATGGCTATGGTAAGGGCCAAGGGTCGTCTCTTTGAGTCTGCATGCGAATTCTGGGGTCAAAAAATGACTGCCTAGGACCGGCGGTGGCCTGGAACGTCCCTCAGGTCAAATGCACTGGGGCGCAGGTGCCGAAAAGTGCCTCAGCTTCCGGAAAGTTGCCACAGGCCTGAGGAAAGTCAACTGTTAGGCCAAATAGGGGCACAGTAGACCAACAGTCGAAAAGTTCCCAGAAGCCATTTCGGCCACAGACCACACAAAATCCAAAGGCACAGCAAAGTAGTTTCCAGAAACTTCCAGACGTGCTGGGATCAGGGCACAACAGGCTGCAAGGGCCCGCTATCAAATTCTGGCTGCACAGATCAAAGAAATCTCAGCCGTATGAGGAGGCAACCTGAGGTAGGTAGTCTTCATCCGAATAGAGTGGCCAGTCACTTGAGCTGTATTTGAGTGAACTTTCAGTCGAGAAGCAGCAATAATGACCCGGCATTTTTTTTTCATTAAAAAAAAAACTAAGCTATATTCTTCTCTCAAGTATACCTTACACTGCCCAGTGCCTACCTATATATGATTAAGCACACCCGGAAGGGCCAACGGAAACCTACTGGGAGCAACCAAAATCTACCAAGCCTATGAACCAACCCCCAGTGAGGACTGGCAGCATCAAAGGCCTCTAGGAGAACCCAAGACGCCGACCAGGGGGGGGCAAGCCTGGTGAACACCAAGCACAGGCAGCCGTGGGCATTTGAACCCATGACCTCCCGAATGCCACTTGCGTGTGAAACAAACTGATGAGCTAGGCCGCTGGCCCAATGACCAGGTGGTCAAGACAGTAGTCAGAACTGCAGAGCAGGCTCTGCCGCAGCTCAAGCAGTCACTCTGCTTGGGGGAGTTGGTGCTGAGCTCATGAGCCTAATGTGCAAGAGGCGACTTCATAGCGCCCAGGACAGCTAGAGGGATAGGGAGGCAGGCATAGCCAAATGGGTGCTGCCTGTATTTTTGTGGAGTGCTACCTCCGTATCTGTAGGTGAGAGTGCGAGCGAGGAGAGAGTGTTCGGGGTGTCATCTGGGTGCAGGAGGAGAGTTCTGCTTACCTGGAGTGTTCAGGCTGATGCTCTTCACGGTGCTAACTTCTATGCTGTTGCACACTGCATTGACGGCACTTGCCTTGAAGTGGCAGTGCCAGAGCGGTTCATGTTTGGAGAGTGACAGAGCAGCGTTGTGTCCAGAGTTACAATACAGAAGCTGTGTTGGGGGCTGCTGTGAGAGAGGGACTGTTTGCAAAGGGAAAGAGAAGGCGCTTTGGAAGTGCCTGATGTGGAAGGGCGAGACGTTTTTTTTTTTTGCATTGCATTTCTGAATATCAACGAGATTATTACTCTTCTTCCCTATCTTCTTCTTCTGGTCTCTTCCTGTGTGTATTTCCTTCTTGAGTTTCATGTGTGATGTGCACGTGAGTAAAGTGATTGAACGGTGAGCATGGAGAGACAGGTTCGTTGCACTCTGTTTAGAGGTCCCGGGTCTTTATCTGTTAGGCAGGAAAACAGAGGTCATGAACTTGGGGGAGATACCTGGTTCAAAACCTGTTCTCGCCACAAGTGAATAAGCAACAACCTTTGTATTCCTGTGTGCTAGTACAGTATCCCATGGCAACATGGAGACCAATTGGTGGAAGCAAGTATGAGAACATGACGACACACACCCTCCGCGCATTCCTTGGGCGGTTACTGCTTTTGCCTGCTCATCCTTAGCCATGCGACATACAGACAAGTGTGATGCATCTTTGAGCACTATGCAAGCATGCATCTATTGACAGACAATGATGTATCGGATTACAGACCTGCGCAAGGGTCGTCTCTCAAGGAACAGTACAAATGTGCATAAGGGTCAGCTCCCAAGGAATGAACTAGCAGTCGGCTCCGAAGGAATAGTACAGACACTCACAAGGGTCAGCCCCCAAGGAATGAAGTAGCAACTGTATTATTGTGCTCTCTGGCAAGCTAAAGAATGAATAGTATTGAATACAATCACAAATTGATCTTGGAACAACCTGGTAAAGCATGCAGTCAGGAGACTGTGTCCATGTACCTTCGAACTCCAAAACCATGGTGACTAACACTCAAAAAACGAAAAGGTGGAATGTCTGGAGGAATATCAGACACATCTCTGTTTTTTTCCCAAACCAGAGGTGGAATGAGCTGTCATGGATAAGCTGTGTTGAGTGGAAAGGTTTTGTCAAACAAGCAATCAGTTATGCTTCTGACTACTGTCGTCACCCGAATAGAACGCCCGGTAATTATGGCCGTATCTGGACTGAAAGCTGCGTCAAATACAGCTATCATGACCGGGCGTTCTATTCGGGTGTAGACGGTAGTTGGAACCCATGATTGCGCTGCCTGAGATGGGCGTCTGAAGATGGTTTTATGACCGGGCGTTCTATTCGGGTGAAGACGGTAGTTTCCCATGATTGCGCTGCCTGAGATGGGCGTCTGAAGATGGTTTTTGAACGTGGCAATAGTTTTTTGGGTCATTGCTGGTACGCAACTAGGTTGAGAATGAAAACTTTGCGTTGAAGAAGAGTCATGAAAGATTCTACGAGTAGGCTGCGGAAGAGCTGATCGTTCAAAAAGAAATTCTCAGGCATGTGATTCGTTAGGAATGGTTTTGACTGTTGCATCTCTTTACTCTTGATGACACTGGCAAGGAAGTACTGTTTCAAAGTCTGCTGCATTGATGTTGGTTGAAGTACTGTTTTGAACTGAAAAGTGACAGGGATGGAAGTATGATGGCTGGTGTTGACTTCTTGTGGGCACAGCTGATATTGGATGCTCGTCTGGGATGAATTTGAATTGCTTCGGTGGCTGAGGTGACACATTCTTATACCCTTTCTTTGGGGGTGCTGGCAGCTTGAATCGTCCTTGCGAAAAATTGCTGTGCTCAGTACCTGGGTAACGGACCCTGAAGATCTAGAACCTTGCCCTTCGTTGTCATTGGGAGGGTGTCAAGGTGGTTCTCTGTTGACAAGTGGTGCGACCAAAGGCAATGCTACAGTTGTCAGGAGGAGGCGGAACGGGAACGGCCGATTTGCAGCTGCAGCATCAGCAGCTGAACAGCTTTCTGCTGTACAATGGTGGAAGGGATCAAGGACCTTCAGACGTGTGATGAATCTGCACAGACTGCCATCCTCCGCGGCCAAAGCTGCAGCTCGACAAGGTAACTTGTTAAGAACATCCAACCGATTATGACTGTTTGTGTGTGCGGTCTTGCAGAAAAGCAAGGCGATGCATGCATGTGAGCATCCATATGTAATGCTACATATGCATTGCGATTGCACAGCGGTACTAGCTTGGTTAAGCTTTGTGTTGAACGTGCATCGGCGTTCTGAAATGGGATATATTTGTCCTGTGCTAGGGTGTAAAAGCGGTTGTGTTTTATGCTGGGCAGTCAGTTGCTCCACTAGGCAAGCATGGGCCAGGTGGGCAGGGGGGAACTCGCCCAGGAAAAGGGGCAAGGATCCCCCAAAAGAAAAACACTGACTTCAGGCCAGGGCTGCACTTGGCCTGAGCAGTCAGAATCTGGCATCACCTTCCAATTTGGTGACGTGTCTCCAGTGGGGGTTGGGGGGTATAAACAGTGACTAAAGGGGTTAAACTTTAAACTTTAAAGGAGTATATCTCAAGTTCTTAACTCGTGGTTTCTCTTTTATCCTTATCTTGAAATTAGTATGGAATTTCGAGGGGACACCCTCAGCTACAAGTTGTTCCTATTAACACACTTTCTTTTTTTTTTGTTAAATAATGCGCTGGGCCTGCTCGGGACCTTGCCCAGACCCTGGCGGGTGGGTACCCGGGCGACCCTCCCCCAGCTGGGGTGCTCGGGGACCAGCACTGGTTGTGTTCCATTTCATGAGAACACTTATGTATGGTCTTGTAGTATTTTTTTCTTCATCAATTGTTGGCCTGAAAGGTTTTTGATAAGTTTTACCTTGTAGATGGTGCCATTACTATGCTTAGTATGCTAATAGTGCCATTACTATGCTTAGTATGCTAATAACTGAAAAGAGAACCCAAAGGAAACATGATGACTGAGGGAGTATCAATCTTCCCTTCGGGATTGGTTTGGGAGCGTCCATATTTGTCTCCTGTGGATCCTCGGCTTTGGTGTACGCCCTAACTCAGCCTGCCTTGCATTCTGTTTCGTTTGCAACTACCCCTATTTTGTACTACATCATCGATATGGAGGTGTTGATGTAGCACTTTTGATTGCCGCGTTGTCCCCATGGTTGAATTGTGTCGATGTCGAGGGCTACCATATCAGGTGATAACACACACTTAGAACTTGGGAACAATCCTGGATTTTGGTAACTGGTCGGAGACTGGGCTACCGGCCGGGCTGCCAGGCTCCCCTTGTTTCCCCCGGCGGCCCGTCCGTGCGAGGACCAAGGAAGATCCCAGCAAAAAAAGAGCCATAAAAAAATCCGGGAAAAAACTATGTTATGCAGAAAAATAAACTGATCAACTTTTGCGTCAGGGTCACATCAAAATTCTTTACCAAACTTAAATTAAGACCTTTTTTTTTGGCCGGAGCGCGATTCTGGGAGACATGAACTTCCGTTATGCTTGTAGTAATAGTTTGGGGAGGAGTCAATGGCAGAATGCTCTCTGGAGGTTGAAGAAAGGTATCGAAAAAGAGGGGTTGAGGCTTTTTCCACATGTTGCATTTCAGAGAGGTCTGTATTGAGGTAAATGCCTGCTGCTTGTGTTGCAAATGTGGGGTTACTTTTTGAGAAAAGCGTGTAAGATTGCACAAAAATATAATCGGTTGTGCTCTGGGGCAGAACATAGCACTGAATGGATATGCGGGTGATATTGTTCCTTTGCAGTCTATTATTCTGTCCTGTCTTCGTAAGGCCTTGTCTATAAAGAAACAAAGACACACTTTGATTGTGGAATGCGATGGTGTGTGTTGGGGGTGGGGCTTGCAGGTGGGTGGAAGCCAGTGAAGGGGTTAATTTATGATGATGCATCTGAACTGACAATCCGCACCAAGCAGTGTGCATGGAGAGCAAGGGTGGAGCGTGTGCATTCAACTGGAGATCTAGCTTTGCTGGTAAGTGCAGCATATATGCTCAGGTTGAGATGTAGGGACTGATGACCATCCACCGGATCAGTTTGTTTGTCCCTTAGAAATGGACTAGGACCCCTCTGTCTTCTCATGATGTTTCTGATTATGCAGGGCTGGATGGCTCGGCGTGAGTCTCGGTCCTCACCTGGACAGGAAAATGGATGAAGGTTTGAGTTGGGTGGCGGCCTTACGGGTGATTTTGTGAGACCTGCCTCGAGTAATCGATGCTACATTGATTGACGGATTGGGATTTTTTTGTGAGTGGGACAAATGAGGGATATGTTAGGTTCGAACTTCGCTGTCTTTGAATGAAAAAATGAAGTGGGACAGGATTGCCGGGAAGTGTTTACTGGAAATGTTATCAGAGAGAGACATTGGAGCATTGGGTTAATGAGACGGATGGGTTAGACTCATTAGAGACATTGGGTAATAAGATGGATGAGTGGATAGGTGGATGCCTTGGGCCAGTACATGAGATGAAATGGCCTGTGACAGACTCAGTTTGATGGGATGGATGGGACTGAGAGTGCTTGGGATAACAGTGTAGAAGGAGGGGGTAAAAGGACTGCGGAAATTATAATGGAGAGTGGAAATGGCATTGAGCGGCAGGGGTGTGCTGTAGAAGGTTGTGGATGATGGAGATGCCTTGAAGTGGGAACGGAGTGGAGTGAGCAGGACGAAATAACATGGATTGGATTGGGATTGTGGGAACAAGGTGATTGGCGAGGAGGAGACACAAGGGAAGAGGTGGAGAGGGGGGCAATGGAGGGAAGAGAGGATGAAATGGGAATTAATAACGAAGGAGTCGACGAAGTGGAGGGGAGGCGAGGGGAGGGCAGGATGAATGATGAAGAAAAGTATGTAAGGTCGTTGGAGTGGAGGGGATGCGGGAGAGTGTGTGCAAGGGAATGGGGTGCAAGGGTCGGGGGCAATGGCATATGCGGAAGTGTGGGCAAGGTGATGCTAGGAGAGGGATGGGTCGTTCCAGCTTTTGAATGTAGGTGGGAATATTTTGAAAGGTTGATTTTACTATCAGCTCACCGGAGGCTACAGGAGGGGAGAGGGCTCAATAGTCCATGAAATAAGGGATCAAAACAAGAGGAAATGAGGTGGACCAGCAGAAAGATGAACATGGGAACCATGCCAACTTTTGAACGGGAGACGAACATTGAGATCTCAATTGCTAACTAAAACGAGGGAGTGGTACAGTAGCACAGGGACACTGCACGCTTGTCCAATCAGTTGTGCTCTGTGTTAGCATCTTAGGGTTCAGGGTTTATCCCATACTTGTATCCAGTCACCGAGGGCATACTCACAGTAGGATTTCTTCTACAAAGCTCTGGATGTGATTGTGGTCAGATTTGTGCAGGTCTGGCCGTAATTGTGGTCAGAATCTGTCAGATACATTTAAAAAGTGCCACTGTGAGTATGCCCTGTCAGTGTTTGTTTGCATCAGGAGATGATAAACTGGGCATGGATGATGTCCAGAGTGTGCGGGTGGCTTCCATCGGGACAAGATCCACCTCAAATATGTGGAGCAGAGGGAGCATAAGTCGATGCGAGCCCCAGTCCTTGCCTCCTGTTTCATGTATTCATATGCGGTAGGCGGCAATGTACTTTGTTCTTGATGAGTGCGATGCACGTAAAGCAGTGCTAGTGATTCTGCAGGTATACTGGCCCTCTGGGGTAGACGGAGCTTCTTCTAGGATGTGGTAGGGAGACCTACCATAACTTCCATTGAGGGAGATAGAACTGTCTGGGAATGCAGGGATCTGTCATGAGGAACGGCAGCTAGAGAATGTGGAGGTGTTTAGGATGCGTCCAATGCATTCATTTTTGTTCTGGTTCTGTGCAGTTGATACCTGCGTCGTATTGACATGGTGCTCGAGTCCATCTTCAGGGGACCCGCGGGCATCAATACCCCTACCATTGGTATTGATAGGTTGCTGGAATCCATGTGTATTTGAAAGATAGGCAGTACTGGGGACATGCTGGAAATGAATTGAGGGTTGTGCTATTGGGTGGAGACTCATGTTTTGCTTGTACTGCCCTTCTTGACCTCCATCTATCCATGTATCTATGGGGAGAGACCTCTCTCTCTCTCTCTCTCTCTCTCTCTCTCTCTCTCTCTCTCTCTCTCTCTCTCTCTCTCTCTCTCTCTCTCTCTCTCTCTCTCTCTCTCT